TCAATGTAGTATTATGTTCAGTTTAAATGAGCTTGGTGCTACCAGATAATGTTGAGTGTACTGTAGTATTTGAATTATTCTTGTCTCCTTGTTCGTAGAGTACAGAAAGCTTGTTGTACCATACACTTTATACTAGTTCAATTTACCACTACCACATTGAATTGGTGGGCAGTCTTAAGGATGTGTCTGGAAAACAGATTAGGGATTTCAAAGCGACACAAATAAATTAACTAACGTTAAACCATAACCGAGTGACATTTATTTCAAATAAGAAAGTAATAAATAAAGCAAACATTTCTTAAAGGTTAGATGCCCTTCTAAATAAGGTGACGCCTCTTATAGCACAAACGGCTATATAGTTTCCAAAGTGCCTTCATTCTGACGGAGTTTCAAAAGACTGTCTGTCCAGTAAAAAGCAGTATAAATATAYAAGTCCTAGTCCAAAAGTGTGATGGGTGTTCAATATCCGTTCTTTCAACCCAATATTACTACTTCTCTATYGCTCAACGGTGCGGTAGGTACMGGCATGCATTTGCCGAATGGTTTACGCCGTAGCTTGAAAGGTTTTTGCCATTTTTTGATGACACAGGTGAAGCCCACAGAACAGCAGTGCTGCAATGAATAAAAACAAAATGATCAAAATGAGAACTGTTCAAAAGCTGTGCACAGAAAGGGCAAATTCCAGCCTGAAAAATTGACACACCCAAAACAGGTTTCTTCTCACCTTTCTGGAGGCAGGCTTACAGACGTCRCCTAATTTCCCACAAAATTTCCATGAAAACCATTTTCCACTACGARATTGCTTAGATGTTGATATTGTAGAATTGTTCAGTGCCTAATGATCAATATAAAAACAATTATTTTAGATATTTGGTAAAACGTCAATGCAACACTAGAATACATAGACAATCAAAGCAGAAGTGATATGAATTCTGGACAAGTCGAAGTAGGGAGAGAAGTGTAAAAAGAGACAAGGAAGGCTCTGAAAATTGATCCAAAATTGAAAACAGTCAAACCTCTATTAAGCGGCCCTCTACTTAGCGGCCACCTTCCATTAAGCAGCCACTCATAAATTCATCAAATCCCGGCTATCACACAAATTTGCTGTAAACACGACCTCTATTAAACGGTCAACTTCAATGAAGCGGTAAGCTCTTGTTTCCCCAACCTGCCCGCCTTATAGAGGTTTGACTTTATATCCAATTATCGAAAAGCAGCTTAACCAAGATGGTGTTATTTCCTTAAAGTGACTATGACGCCTGACAAAACAATTCTGCGATTCTTTGTGAGCTGATTCTGTGTAAAATAAATAATGRAATGGTGGAATATTCCTGCATTTCAGTGTTGCGTCTTTGAGCTATGAGGGTTCAATCTTACAATATGTTAATGAAAATGACTTCAAAGAAGGCTTCATTAGATATACTAACTTGAAGTAGTCGCTTAATAATGGTTTCATGGCATTAAAATTATTGTATGCAATGGGAATAACCATATTCCCAGATGGCGTTCATGAAAACATTTTTGAGCGACTGTTTCAAAGTTCGTATATCTAATGAAGCCTCCCTTGACGTCATTATCATTAGCATATTGRAAGATTAAACCTTCAAAACTCAAATACCCAACACTGAAATGCAGAAATATTTCACCATGCAATTATTTACTTTATTTAGAATCAGCTCACAGAGACCCACAGAGAATCAGAAATTATTATTTATGATTTCAGAAGCCGATGAAATACAACTGTTCACAAAGTAGARCCCATTAAAATSTGGGGGGAGTGGGGTCGGGTGGGGTGTGTTGGACATACCTTTGCATGGGTTTCGTCCATTATAATCACAAGAAGCGTCATTAYAATCAAAATCTTTAGCAGCAACATATACGATGAAGTCATTGTCAGTTCTGAAAAAAAAAATTCGTTTGATCAGTGTATAAAACAGTAAAATAGAAACTACTTTTTCTAAATTGTTAAAAAAACTTACAGGTATTGTAATTTCTTAAATGATTGATCAATGTAAAACAAATAGTGTAATGTGTAATATGTTTATAGTGTAGTATAGTGAAGTCTCATTAGTGTTCAAGTCAATCGATAAAAAAAAGAAACTGATTTTTAGTTTAGATAAAAAATTTGCAAAAACTTCCAAATTTCCAAATGAACAGAACAAAAGAAAACAAATAAAATAAAATAAAATAAAAACAAACAACAAAACAACAGAGAATTCTCAGGAACCAGCCTTGTGAAAGTATCAGGTGAATGTACGTAATCATGAATGAACATAGATTCCATTTGATATTTAACCYGTTCTCCAGCCGCGTACGTTCTCKAGCCTTTTCAGCTATTAGCACCTTATTCAAATTTTATTGTTTTTTCTGTTTCATCRCCTGCATTTTTACAAGCGTCTATGCCGGATATATTTCATTAGCCAACTCAACACCTCTAGACCATTAACTAATTATAAAATTGCTGAAAGATGGCGAGAGACGTAAAACGTGACAGACAAAAAAACGCAAACTTCAATAAATGCTGGTCGTTCCTAACTTCGAATATAATGGTTCAAAGTTCGCTGTTGTTTTCCGCCTAAAATGGACCGGTTGTTGMTGACTAAATTGGCTTAGCTATATATCTAATGTAAAAAGTAGCTTTAAGATCGATGGGAAGCGTTAGGTTGAAGGAATAGTTGAGTTTTGGCGTCTCATTTACAACGTTTAGCCTCAATTGTGTGCAAAATATACAGATATTTACAACCACGTGAAATCTCAAACTATTTTCATTGTCTCTTTATACTGACAGATCGCTTGCATTCGCACGTGTTTTTACTAAAAGAATATATCCTACGATTTGTATTAAAATGAGTCTTATTAAAATACTTCTGAAATGGAAAAAGATTGCATGACACAGGACTTTTCTTCCGTTATCATATCACGAGTATTTTCAACAGTAGTATATGAAATAAATGAAGCAGACGGCGCCAGAATTGCTATAAAATRTTTTATAACTTAAAGCCAAATAAGAAATATCTCAAATATTTCCTGATCTATTTCCTTACCTATTAAGTCAATAGTCGCTTATGATGGCCTGCGTTATTGAGATAAAAGCTAATGTAGTAGAGTGACCAACAACGTCTATTCACACATACTGTTGGCTCTGAACTATTTAAGTCCCTCTTGCTCGCGTCTGCACGAAAAAGAGTTCATATATCTTGACCTTCATGGTATTATTACCAATTACTCTGTTAGTGATCTTTTGTTGAAAGGTCGAAAACAGGAGTTTAAAGAAAGATTGCTTTCAATAAAACACTTTTAACATGCTGGTTATTGCGTGAAGAAATTGACGCTTCTATGTAGAGTCCCGTTAGGAAAATGAGGAGGCGTGCGAACAACCGGAARTTAATAGAGCACATTTGTCTGTATCATAGACGATGACATAATACTCCAGTCAATTTATTGTAGAAAAATAAATCATTTAAAGTTCTTGTTAAGCTTGTTTTTTAAAAAACGATTGAGAAATTTAAGCTTCAATGCTTTATTCATATCTCATGTTACAACATTTCATTGGAATTTATAAAAATGAATTTCAAGCAAATTACAAGCGAAAAAAGTTGAGATTATTGCTAAAGTTCAGAACTACAGTAGTCGCAATAGAATCCACAGTTAGAAGCAATTATAGTAAAGCAACAAAACGAAATAAGCCACACACACACACAAAAAAAAAATAAAACTAAGCTACAACTGTTCAAGTATGCAGGTTTCCTATTCAGGTTTTGTTAAATTCCCAACTTTTTGGGATCATAATTCAATATCAGTGGACGCCACTCCTTTTCCGAAATCCCGCGTGGAACACTAAAGCTCGGAAGGAAAAGACAGGGTAGTGTTCGACTCTAAAAGTGTGACCATTTCTAACAAAAAAAAAATCAATTTATGTATCCCGTGCGTAGGTCGAGAGGAAGGAAGAACAATAAACGCCGGTACTTCATGCTAAAAAATATGCTTTTGAATAAAACATTATTATCATATAATTATCTATGAAATACCTATATTTCTCCATTTCGTAAACTTGATATTTTCACTAGTGAAAATAACACATTCGGGGTTTCTCTATATAGTGGAAGTAAGAAAAAAGGTTCTTTTACGACATAATTTGCTTTCATATACAAGTATATGATAATTAGAATATTACATGTTCGCTTGGAGATACGAATTTTATCTTCGAGTGTCACGGTTGAAAAGATCTCTAATCTAAAAAACCTTTTAGTCCGACGAAGAAGGATTCCACCTATTTGTTACGCTGTTAACTTAATCTTTTCACACAACTGTTTCTTTAGAAACACCGACGCAGCTCACACTAGTTTACCGCTATTTCCCACCTTTAATGCAGTGAGTAGACCTAAGCTTTCGTGACGCCTAACCAAAACTGTTATTTTTTGTTCGGCTGCACGCAGGCTAACTAGTAGACCTGTCCAGTTATCGTAAAAATGATATATGCTTTGTGCTCAATTGGGTGTTGACATTTACCGGAGAACTGAGTGCCGATCTAACACGAAGGTCAAAGGGAAAAAAACTTCAAACAAGATACAGGAAATCCATTAAGACCTACTCTAGGCTTAGTTATGGATCCAAAAAAAAAAAATCAAAAAATATTTATGATTTAGCAAAGAACAGTATAAAAAAATCCGTTTTTAGCATTGGGATATGGGGCATACAATCTGCTGGGGAGAATCGCWMRGAGAATGCGTATGYCTTCAACAACATGGCGGCCAAATCGAAGATTTCAGACGGGGTGACCTACGTAGCACGCAGTTGATGTAATGTATTCATAAAATGTATTGTATTCCATTGTTTCTCGTTCTATTGTATTTTGTGTTTTATGAATATATTACATCAACTGAGTGCTACGTAGGCTCTCMCGATTTCAGACAATGAAAAGGCAACTTGTATACAAAAGTGTTTCTGTATATACTTTAATAGGGTGTTGAAAATAAAATGCGATAAGAAAACCTTAAGTTTGAACTACTTTTCTTAACTTCAGCGATTTTGTGTAGGACTCAACAAATCATTGAGTTGCACAGTTGYCCCTTGTTACCATACGTCCTTCCGAGCRTGCGCAGTGCGTTCCTCCTMAGTGTCGCTGGACTGAAGTTGTGGACCACCCAGTGATTCTACTTCAATGACACGTGACTGCAGATTTGACTGGACGTGAC